AGTGGGCTATTCATTACAACGGCCAACGACTCATCATCGGGGGTTCGGGGAGTACGGAATGGCCCTATATATATCACATATGAGTGCGATGGTCTGAGTTTTACACAACTTTCTGCCCATAATCCAAGCCGCCCACAACAACAATGGCAGTGGAAAAAGCGAACGATTTACCAATTTTTATTTCAAGTCCATTGTTGCCAACCCATCCCATGATATATGTAGGTATTAAAAGTTATTGAAAAAACTGCTGACAAAAGAAGTATAAATATTTACGCAAAATACTATTTGAAAGTCAAGAGGAGGATCGAAAATCGTGTGAGTGGGTGGTTGAATCCCTGGTTTCAAAAGCGGATTTCAAGAGCCTTCGACTGGCAAATGCAAATGATTGGCCCCTTTGATGTTAACCGCCATAAATTTCTCACAAAGAGAAAAAAAACTTAAGTTTGGACTTGAGATTTGTTTGGTTTTAAGGGTTTTGAGGCGTATTTTAATTACAAGAAAGGATTTTTTAAAGACAAATAAAGGTAGATCCAGGATTAGGTACTGAACTTCCAGTTCTTAAAATCAATTTTTATTTTTTTCATATTTTTTGAAGCTGTTAAATATTTCTCTATCTACCCATTTTATTTACCCACACACTTTGCCACACACTGAAATCCGAAATTAATTAAAAACTCGCAGGCAATTCAAATCCTGGGAAAGTTGAGCCGGCAAAACAAAAGTTCTCCCCTGAGTTTCAAGGAGATACAGACAATAGATATAAATAAAAACCGAAAATGCTATAAATTTTATGTGAAATATAATTGCTTAATGGCATTTCCTGGCATAATTGCCGCGTTTTGCACCTTGGGAGCTGGTCCTTATAAATAAAAATTAATTTTAAGCGGCCTGAGCAACAATAACAAGACAATTACACACCGCACACACACCCTTCATCAAGGACTAACAAGGACATAGGGCCGACAAATTGTTGGCCTCCGTTTGTCGAGTACAAAATTGAAATTAAAAAGAAGAAAATGTACAAAGGCAAAAAAATGTCTAAAATGTTAACAACTTTTCTGGTCTTGGTTTGGGCTTTCGGGTTTTGGGGGGGTTGTGAAAATGGAAATGGTGGCTTTTCTTGGTGGTGCCTTGTCATCCCGGTGGAAACTGTGGGAAATTGTCGCGTCTTGGGCGATAAATCAGGCAGGTGTCGTCGGCGGTTGGGTGTTAAGAATCTTGGCAGGCACTCTCGTTTCTTTTCGCCGTGTGAGCTGTGTGGTCGCATTAAAAATGCAGCAAAGTTGCCGGAACAAGCTACATAAACCACCCGCACCCACTTGATTTTACCACCCCCCCTCCCAAAACGATATTTCATGCAAAAAGGCGGCAGTAATTAAATTCAAGGAAAACTAACAGCGAAGACCGCACTGTAAAAATGCCATAATTATACGCGACTGCATGTCGTGTGGGCTTAGTGTACCGCCACCCCCTGGTCTCAACCCACCCCCGACCCCTGACCCTGTCAGTTTAACCCCCGACCGCCGGAGAAACCTGCGGGGCGCACATACGGCGAGCGTCATAACCTTTTACTGCCTTCGTCTTGGCCTTCGTCGACATCTTCATCTTCGTCTTGGTTTTTTGGGGGAGCCTTTGACCTCAACGTTTTCTCAACACCCTGGAAAACCATGTCGGGTTTTTGATTTTTCAATTTTCATTTTACTTTATTTTATAACCCAAAATACAAATCCTAAACATAGTAGTTACACTACGTAACTCAACCTTTTTAAAAATATTTTATGAAGATACTACGATCCTGAAGAATTCGCGTAATTCTTAACGATTAACTTTCAGTGGGCTTAGTGCCAATTTTTAATTTTAATTTCTTATATAACCATAAATAAATATCTTAAAATAAAAAACGAGCCAAAAATACTCAACCGCATTACAAAATATTTAATACAATAATATGAGGCTGAAGAACTCGCGTATATCTCAACAATTAGCTTTCAGCAGGCTTTTTGCCAAACTATGTTTTTACTTTATTTTATAACCATGCATGAAAATTATAAATGCAATAGCCCCCAAAATATACAACAGTTTTGTAAAAATACTTATATATAACAGTATGGTTCTGAAGAATTCGCGCATTGCTTAACCAATATCTTTCGGTATTGCCTACTTATAACTTATTTTATAAAAGTAAAATTTGATAAAATTCCTAAGTATCTGTAATTATAACTAAAATAAAATCCTAATTTAAATTCCTTATAGAGTACCCCACATTTCGAATACCTCCAACGACCATTATCTTTTCAGCTTGCAAAGCAACCACATTTTTGCAACGCTTTTCCTGTCTGTCTGCCTGCTTTTAGGTGGTTGGGGTTGGTGATGCGGCTGCTTTCGCGTCTTAATCCTTTTTCCATTATTATTTTCATAATTCTTATTTACATGACGCCAAACGTCTTCGTCTCCGTCGCTGTCTTGGTTTTTCCAACGCCTTCGCCGAGATTTTCTGTCTGTTATTGTTGTGGGCGGGGCGTTTTCCCCTAATTTTCCCGGCCAAGGGTAGAGCTTGTCTCTTTTGCTTGGCGCTTTTTTAATGTTTGGCGAAAAATTATTTTCTTATAACTGAATTATTCACTGATTACATGCCGTTGCCTTTGCTTTTGCTCCCTGTCTCTGTCACTCGTACCGCTCTGTACCCCCTTAACCCTAGAAAGTCCCCCTCCATCCGTTTTGCCTGTCGCTTTCGCTTTGCCAACCCCTTTTCGGTGCTTTACAAATTTATTACTCATACGCCCCGCCCAACAAGCTCCCGGCTCGTCGGTTTTCCACTTTTCCGGACAGACCCAGTTCGGAATGATTCGCTCGTTTTGAGCACAGGGGGTGGGAATGGGTTAAGTTTTTGGGGGGGTTGGGGGTGCGCATGTGAGAACTGCATAATTATGAGCGCAAAACGGATTTAATTTTTAATTAAAGCGCATTTGAGGGTCTCCTGCTCGAGGATTTCGTATCTGGAAATCGCTTTTCTGTTTCTGTGTTTGTTTTTCGTCTTTGCGTTGTCTGTGATTCTTTTTAATGGTTTTATTATAGGCAAATATGGGATACTTAGGGCTTAAGCAAAATAATAATGTAAATCTAAAAAAAAAATAATTTAAGATGAAATACCCCCTTAAGTAAAAAATATTTTCTTAAATTAAGAGATAAGATTCGCCTTTTGCTTGCGAGAAAATATTTAAATGTTTAAGTTCGAGCTTCACTTAAATATATTAAATGTAAATTAAAATTCATCTTCTTTCTGGCCTCCTTAAATTAAATTCCTTTGTCCCAGCGAATTTCCAATAGCTTTCCTTGGCCCGATGGCCACTTGTGACTGCCTTTCTCCCATTTCACCACCCAATGCCTCATGCGCTCAATATTATGCTTTCATTTCTGTTTGCCAAGTGTTTGCATAAAGCGCGCGTTGACTGACCACGCACCGCTCCCTTCCTCGATGACCACGTAAGTACCTCCTACCTTCCCGGCTGAAACTGCCCCTCCATCCGACCATCATCCAAGTAACGGGCATCGATAATGTGTCCCATGTTTAACAGGAGGTTGGACCTACCGATTCCAAACTCCTTCTGCACAGAAAGAAATCTCGAGTGAGTTTTTAAAGAATTTTTAAGCAAAAATATAACCTTATACTTGAGTAGTATCTTAAGGGATTTCTGTTATAAATGATTATTTAAATAGCAAAATAAATATTAAAGGCTTTATAACACTAGCTTGATTCTTATCTGGCTCACTGTATATTTTTAAATGGCTTAATAAATTTGTATGACCCTATGACACCAGGCTAAATTTTAACTAAGTTAACCTAAAACTTATATAATACGTAAAATCATAACATGTTGTTCCTAGGTTGCCAAGGATTTTTAAATTAAAAGCTGTTAGATGTCAAAAATCAAGCAAGTGTCTTAAGACCTTCAAGAACTTTGTAGTTCTAGGAAAAAAATTTCATTTTTTTTGAAGAATCAACGATCAAGCAATTGTCATAAGGCTTTTGTTGTTCTAGGTAAATATACCATTATATAAAACAGGATATCAAAATTTGATTGATAGAGTATTAAATATGAATAAAAATATAATATGACGAGGCATTTGATTTTTTTAAGAGGTTTTAATTCTTAATTTCTCCACCGATTTAACTTTCTTACAGTGTACCTATGCTCCTGTTTCTGAACCCGTTCCACTTTCGGCCGCCCGTCGACGTTGATGATGACACTCATAACAATTGCGCGACGGCATTTTACCTGAACAAACTTTGATACATGCATTGGTCGGTGGAGGGGTTGATGAGGGGGTGGTAGGGGTTGCAAGGGGTCGAATGGGTGGTTGGGGGATTGGGACTTCCAGCTGAAGGCAATGGCCAAAACCAAACCAAACGTAAACGCAAATGAAAGCAAAATGCAGCCATGTCAGCAGCAGCAACAACAACGTGGACGATGATAGCGGTGCAGTTGGCTGCTAACAAAACAAGTGGGGAGCCCACATTGGCAAAGGGGGTGGTGGGTGAAAGGTGGGCGAAAGGTGGGTGAAAGGTGGGTGAAAGGTGGGTGGCTCACTTGGTACCTTAACCATTTGGCAGTTGGCACTCGAATGCAATTTCAGTAATTAAAATAAACAACAGACGACGATGACGTGCAGTTTGACTCCACCGATGGGCTTTTGGCCAGCTCGACGACAACATCATCATCAACATATCATTATCAGACAATCCTGGCATCCATTTGGGCCAATTGCTTTGTCAAAATAAACATTAAGTGTTTTTCGAACTCAGTTGATATGAGCGAATTTTGAATACCCTTACAAAGATTATATTATTTATCAACGAAATCTTAATCTATATTGCAAAATGATAATATCTGTATAGTAGTTAATTAGTATGAAAGCTTAGAACGTGTCTCGGGAACGAAAGCTTTAATAACGTATTTAAGCCACTTCAATCGACCGATCGGGAATCAGTTTCAATCAAAGCTTGTTTGCGAAATGTATGCTGGTGCTCGAGAGAAATATATTTACGAAACCAAGTTAAAGAAACAAATATAGAACAGCAATAGTTGAATCTGGAGTTCTATAGCCCAAAAACCTAGTAACGTAGGTTGTTAGAATATTATCTGTTCTAGCCATGTGTAACTATTGGGTTATAACCTGATTAAATTGCATTCAATTATGCGTGAAGTTAATAAAAAACCCGTCTCAGTTTAACGCATCCAAGTGCAATCACTGCTACTAAGAAAAAGCTGTTATAACCTCTATAAACCCGTTCAGTCAACCGATTGAGAATTAGTTCTCTTGGAAACTCAGTGCAAGATGTTATGCGGCGTTAACGTTTTCTATGTTATATTTGGAGTATTGTCAGTCCTTTTAAGAGGTAAGTTAAAATATTAGATCGTCTAAAAATATAGACATAAAAAGTTAAACAATTTTCATTATAAAGATTTTAGTTTAATACCAGTTACCTGAACGTATTACAAATAAGTCTCATAAGACACTTGAGCTCTTAAATAGGGTATATAATATAAGCAAACTAACCTAACTAAATCTTTATAGCAATTCAGGGTCAAGAAGAATGCGGAAGACTGCGGGAGAGCCAGCTGTACGATCGTAATGAGATTACGTCACCGGATGAGTACACATGGATAGGCCGCGTGGGCTATGAGAACTCAGATAATGGAACCATAGAGTTCCATTGCCTTTCTGTTCTGATCCACCGGCAGTTTGCCATTCTTCCCGCCCACTGTTTGCTAAATATACCGAATTCCGATGCCACATTCATCCTTTTTGGAGACTGGCAGGCCCAACAGATCTACACTAAAGGTGATTGTCGCAAGGTGAAGGAATTCTCCCAATGCACCACACCCCCACAGATGGTGGATATTGAGGAACTGGTAGTGCATCCCCAATATAAATCATCTAAGACTTTGGATGGCTTAAATTTCAATATCGCCCTGGCCAAACTGGAGAGGATCGTGGAGTTCACGGACTTCGTACAGCCCATTTGCTTGCCACCTGTTGGCGAGGATAAGGACAAACATATAGGTCAGAGGTTAGAGTGGGCGGGATTTGGTAAAGCTCGAGATGTGGAGAACTTGGATGATAAGTGGCGTGTGAAGACGCAGCTACAAATTGCCAGCCTGCAATTCTGCAACTCAAAAATATGGAACCGTCGTCCACTCTTCGATAATCATCTGTGTTCGGTAGGAGACAAAAAGGGCGATTTACTTTGGGGATCCCCATTAATGGCCTTCGAAGTTTTAGATGGAAAGCCAAGAAACTTCTACTTAGTTGGAATACAAATCAGTTCCATTTCGGCACCTGGTGAGGATCTCGATTCGTTCTTATTTATGCGCATATTGCCATTTAGGAGTTGGATTCAGAAAAATATTAAATATAACTAGTGATAATTGAGCTTTAGTTCTTAAAAATTTGTATCCATTGATTGGGTAGTTATATATGAATACATTTTTATGTATTATTAAGCTTTAAATAAATTAAAAACTATCCGAGCTTACGCTTTTGAGTAACTTCTTTATTTCTAGTATTTTTATGTAAATACCATTTGTATTGAAAACATAGTTATATTACCTGTATTTAGGTAATGTTGTACTTTTTTGAAAGATGTGAAGATTTGGTTAGATGTAAGAATCAGAGATTGAAAGTAATCATTATATGTTATTTTTACTCTTAAAGGTCTACTAAAATTAAACAATTTTTTTTCAAAGTGGTTTTTTTTTGACTTACTGTGGACAAGACTATTTTGAGTTTTATTTTCCTAAGATTAGGTTATTATAATTTTTTACATTTAAAAGTACACATCACAGTAGTCTTTAAAAAAAAGATTATTTTCGTTCCTTGGTAAAAATTTCAATCTAGTATTATTTTCCTAGTGATACATAGAGATGATGTACCCTATGCTCGAAGGACTCTCCCCCAAAGAGGACATAATTAAAGTCCCCAACGAAGCTGGAAAGTATGCTGCGGCTTTTGTGGCCAAAGGCGAGCACGGGAATTGACTTAATTAAATGCAATTTTCAATGCGTTTTTGGTCATTTGAGTGCGCAATTTACTGTTCACCCCATGGAGTAAAAATGAGTGTGTGTGTGTGTGTGGGCTGTGTGTGGATGGGTGTGGGAAAAGGGGGCGTGGCATTGTCACTTGGTAGGTTTTTATGTTTGTTTAATTGTCGGGAGATGCGTTTCGCTTTATGCTTATTTATGATTTAATTAAATGCAATGCAGACCGCAAAATGAGCCATGTTCGAGGTGTTGGGGGTTTTCCGGGGCTTTCCGGGGGTTTGAGAACAGCTATTTAGGGGTGGCATCCATCGATGGAGTGTTTATTTTGGTTTCGAGACGTTCTTTGTGGCCAGAAAATGACCAGAGAAGCTCATTTAATTAAGTCGCCCGTTCATAATGAGGGAATCCATTGGCTTTAACCAAGGCACATAAGCTTTTAAATTTTATAGGTAAATATATATACCAGCCATTTATCATGAGACCATCATCTGGTAAAAAAAAGGGTTCGACTATTCAACCATCAATCAAATTATTAGGGCTTCTGCACTTTTTTCTTTTACTAATTTCCCATGTAACATTTAAACATTTAAAAAAAGGGAATTATTGATTAAAGCATCTAAAAAAAATGTTTCAGCCCCATTCGAGTTTGATTCGACCACATCCTTTTGGCCCTAATCCCAAGGCCCCACACTAAACCCACCTTTACTTTGTTTTCGGCTTTTGAATAATTGAATTCTTCTGCTTGGCGAAACACAAAACTCAAATGCACAACCGATTGAGTTGATCAATCAATTTGAGGGTTTTGATGGAAGGCCCAACCGGATATGAGAAAAGAGTAAGATATGGCAACATGAATGTAGATATTTTATACGTGAAAAGGATGAGGATTTAATTAACTACGACCTCACCTTTAAATGAGAAATGTGGCTTAAAGATAAAAAATGTTTATTAAATATTTAAGCAGTCAACAATATATCAAAAAATGTGTTTCATATTAACATACTGAGCAGATTAAAGGCCAAAAAGAAGCCACATAAATGCAAGTGGATCTGGTAAAGAAAAATTTAGATATTTAAGTATTTAAAAGAAAAGAAACTAGCAAGTGTTTGAAGTACAAGTTACCATAGTATTGAAGAACAGCAATGATTGTCAGACTTATGATGTATATGATGAGAGACATGTTTACGTACTGGTTGTTAAAAAAAAACCTCTAAACATCTATAAAAATGTAAGTCAGCTAGATCGAATTGTTAATTTTTCGGTGAATCAAGATTTTCCACAATTTTATATACCTACTTTAAATAAAAAATAGGTGATTTCACAAAATCACGATGGCTTTTAAACCACTTTTAACACTAGGTGTCTAAAAGTATGCAACAAATAAAGGATGGTCGCCGTTTAAAGTATATTATAGCATACTTTTAGGCACCTAAAAAAGTGATTTCAAAGCACTAGGAATTTGACTCTTTGATAAAATTAAATCTTTAGGCATTAAACAAATATAGCTTGGAAAGTTCTATGAGAACGGCTTAGCCTATAATTTCCCAGCTATAACCTGGTATTTTGTTACACCTTGTGCCCGGCTCCATGGCATCGTAATTTTCAACGGGTTCTCCAGTCTCAGTTGTGCTCTTGGCACTTCATTCATTTGTGAATGTGACAAGTGCCGACGGGAATGGGGTTGGGAATGGGAATTGTTGCTGACGACGCTCAACTTTATGTTGATTACCTTTTCTGATTATGTCTGAGTGTGTGCGCGAGTCCTTGGCACACGGCGGAAAGCCAGGATAAAACAATAAACATAAACCAAGTGGGTCGGCGAGGCAGAAGGTAGAAGTGGGCATGAAATATGATTGAAGTCGAAATGGAAGATCCAAAGGACAACCACTTGAGAGAGCTGGCTCATGTGTAGAACGGCAATTCGGCGACACTCTGGGGACAGGAGTTGAAATGTTGCAGCTGGCAAAAGGTACATAATCACTTTTCCAGCCAGCAGTCAAATTAAATCCCCGGAATATGCACAAACAGGACCAAGAACTGAACACCCAAGGAGCCGCGGCCTCAACTTACAATCCCCAAAAACATTCTAATTGTAATAAAAAGCAACATTAACTGGCGCCCAACGGTTGGCTGGCACTCAAAAACTGTCTCCTTCTTTGTAATAATCATCGAATAAATTATGCAAAAATCATTTCCATTGTTGTAAGTGCCTTTTCCCCGTGCGTTGTCAACGCTCTCATCTGTTTCTGTGGAGGGGTTCACGATTTTGTATCGCATTACATGGCGACTGCGTCTCGGGTTAGCAGCCAAAAATTGGCAATACTTGAATTTTTAATAAGCCTCGCCAAGTTGCTTTCAACATTTTCAACATCTCATTTCGACGATTTTAATGTTTGGTTGGGTTAATCATCAGAAATTGGAGTGGAGTTGGAGGTACTCTTTAGAATAGAACTATACAACTAAGAGCAGGTGTGCAAAAGAGGCTTATAAAAATCAAAAATTCTAATTGCAACATTATAACATTCGACTTACAATATTATTTGGAGTATAAATAATACATATAATAAATTATTATTTCATTTATATTTGTATGATATTATATAAATTATATTTTTATTCTTTTTCATAGTAAAATTTTGCCTAATAATATTTTACGATGATAAATTGTTGACTTTTTATAAAGTTTCCTGATAGTTTATGATTAGTTTACAATATATTTAAGTAAATATAATCAACTATGACATCAAGTTCCCTAAAAACAACTCAGTCCATTTAGAAACAAAATATTAATCATAGTAAAATTTTGCCTAATAATATTTTACGATGATAAATTGTTGACTTTGTATAAAGTTTCCTGATAGTTTATAATTTATAATTCTTAGTTTACAATATATTTAAGTAAATATAATCAACTATGACCCCAAGTTCCCTAAAAACAACTCAGTCCATTTAGAAACAAAATATTAAACATTTTTTTTTAATTTGTCAACTTAACCAACTATGTATTTCTCAGTATTGGCTGCAAATCTCTAACCAAAGTATCTATAAAGTGCCTAGTAAGTCCAGCGGGTTTATCTACCAAAGTACCCTAATAAATCCAATTACAGATTGGCCGGTGTAAAAATTGTCTCGTTACGGGCAAAAGGGAAAATACCCCTGACTACCTTTTGTGAGCATTTTATTTTCCACTTAGCTTGTATTTATTTAAATTTGAGCCCTGGCTATATGGAGAGATATATCTTTCCATAGCCAGACGAGCATGGACCTTGGGCTTATCGCTCAGCAAGCTTATTTGCACAGGCGATTGCCGAAAACCAATCGGCGTAAAATTGAAACCAGCACCTTCTTCGCTTTATATTTTTTATATTTCCGTGGGGTGTGCCGGGGCATAAAAATGAAAAACAAATAAAGAGGCAAAGGCAAAGTGGATGGGAAATTATCCAAAAAAATTAAACATGCCTGATGCGCATCGATTGATTGACGCGCGATTTGACACGTGGAAAATGCATAAAAAATATGAAAATACGTAGAGCCACTCGAATCCAGAGGCCAAATAACATCTGTAATTGTTGCAGTTTGTAGAACCACCCTTCGACAGGTCCCCTTGACTTCTGCGATTTCGTATGCAAATCGTTGAACGGAGCAAACCGCGTTGTTGAGCGTGAAATTTGTTTTTCATTTTTATATTTTCGGTTGGGGTTTTTCGGCGGTTGACAGACACTCAAATCGAATTTTTGTCGCGCTCTGGCAAGTCATAAGAAAATATTTGAATAAAAGAATACCACCCTCATCCCCCAGTTTTTCAGGGGTGTGCTCAGCCGACTTGACGCTTGTTTTTCGGCACATTATGCAAAATAAACATGCAAATAAGATTTGCAGTTAATAAAATTGGTGTACAACCTTATATTCGCGTCGAGATAATTCCCGAAGACACCCTCGAAAAAATCGACTTGTCCATATGCCACTTTGGGGAACAATTATGTAGGATTTTAACTTTATCGCTAAACGATTTTCCGACACGACTGTTTCTGAATAAATTTATGACAAGTCTGGATTCCGGAAAATGCGAGCAAATTTTTAAAGTTGCTGAATTATAGACCTATGTATGTTTGTACACACTCAGAAGATAAAGCTTTTGGGTATTATGATTCTTTAAATTAACAAGCTAGGCTAAATTTATATCAAACATTGAATATGCATTCTAAGTGTTTCCAATGTGTCCTGAATAAAACAATATTTTAAAAATTATAATCAACACTTATTAAAAAAATTAGAAATTATCAAAATAAAAAAGTACTTCAATCAAATATATTTGGTATATCAAAAGTGGTATTAGACTTGGATTATTCATTAAATTCAAAGAGTCGACTGAAAAGAATATGAAAATAAATCTAGCGTATTATCTTTTCTTCGTTTTGTTTTACATTCAAGAAGTCAAGTCAAATATTGGCAATCATCACTCTGGAATTTTGGCTTTATTAGCCATCACCAGCAAGTCTGAATGGCTTTGTCTATATTTCATTGGGATTCTGTTGATTCCTGTTGGGGAGCCAAATTTCCTTAGATGCCTTGAAGTGGCTTACAAATGGCATGAAATTCATACGCCGTGCATAAGTAGCGTTAAATTGTGAGATTGTATTACATTTCCCCCCAGAACCGTCTGGATTAAGATTTCTCTTCGGATTTCTTTTTGGGGATGCTAAAACGGCAGGGGATCAGACGGACGTCAACAAATGAATGTTGGGGTGTTGTGTTGGAAAAGATTTTTGATTTCAGTGTGAGAAAATCAGACTGTAGACTATGCAAGTTGAGGAAAACATGTATTTAAAAAGATTTTGGGTTTTGAAAACATTATAATCAGAATATATTCCTTCTTTCTTATTATAAATATATATAAAAAATATATGTTTTTCTAATACTTTCCCTTGTTGTACTATTATTATAAGATATAATCAAAGTCAAATATAATATTCATATATTTATATTTTCAAAACAACTGATGTAGAGTGAGAATATTAAGTTTTTATTTATTTTTGTATTTTTCAGAGAAGATAAGAAGACTTCTCCAAATGAACTGACCACTTCCTGTATTTGTCAAACTTATTGATAGGCTCATACATCAAATATTATGCCTTAGGGGGTAAATTTCTTGGCCAAAAGAAGGGACTTCTTCCTGTTTCATTTCACGGACAGAATGTTGAAAACTTTGATTGATGCATCGTCGATAGCAGCGAAATGGAAATTAATCAAAAATGCAAACTGGCTTGCGACAGCCACATGCCACACAACTTGTTCGACTTTATCTCGCCTTCTCCCTTCTGCTGCTAATAAATTTTTATTTAAAGTTCATAAAACAAACCGTGCAGGATAATAAATTATGAGGAAACCCCCGCAACAGCTGCGTCCATGAAATCAACATAAAAAGTCATTTGTATATCATTTTTTTTTTTCGGCCTTGTGATTTGTTTTTTTCAACGCTTTTCTTTGGATTTTTCCCAAACAAATTTTACACAGTTGCTGCGGCTTTACGCTTGTTTCGAATGCTTTCCCTGAAGAAGTATGCAAAGTATGTGGCACTGGAACTTGGGTTTTCCCCCGGAAAATGCTCCCCTTTCCGCTCGTAATTCGCATTCATTTATCTAAGCAGCCGTGTCTTCTTTCAGGGCTTTTCTTTTGTTGTTCCACTCACTTTTGCTTACTTTTTTACGTGACTTTGGATGGGTTGGGAGGAAAAGATATATGGTTTTTATAGGGAGGGAGTACTGCAGCAATACCATAAAGTATTGTTGTGCTTATTAAAAACGTAATTCAAGCATTTTGTTTGTCATTTATTATGATTATTGGTGGTGAAGGGAAAATAGCTAAGTTTTAACAACCATTTTCGAGGGGTATTTTTAATGGCTTTTAATCTTTTACCTTAATAAGAAATATATAAAACAAAATATATTATAAAACAACAGTTTATATTAATTAAATAAGATATATAAACTTTTTAATGACTCTCTTCCTGAAAACAATTGAAATCCCTCGTGATTTGCGAGAAAAAACGAACCCAAACTGGAGTCACTCACTCGATGGGGGATTAACTTCATCGGTTGCCTCCGAATCGGCAATCCCCAGTCCTGGGGATATCCTGTCAGCCAGCCTGGCAACCCTTTCGTATCCGTAACTCGGGGGCCGCGACATG